AAAAAAAAACACCCATATTATTGATTTAAAACAATAAGCCAATGTATTTGTGACCTAGTGAGTGTTAATGGCATAGGGGAAATGCGCAATGTGAGGCAAACACATTATGCTTAATTTATTTGTTAAAGCAAGATTAATCATTTATTAAAAGTGTAATTGTAAAAGTAATGGTCAGTATTATTATTATTAAATTGTGGATTGGTGAGGGCACAGGGATTCTGTTTTGTACAATATCAGGAATGTTAATGAGTTTAAAATGCTAATTAAATAATGAATTAACAGTAAAATCTTTCATTTTTTTAATGATTAGTTACTTTTTCTGTTAAAAGGCAAAGACCATGTGTTATGCCTGGTGGCCGGTGAGCAGAGGGCACCCAAATTGCAACACTCAGATTCGACGCACTGGACAGACGGAACAATGGGCAGACACAACAGATCTTGTCAGAGATGAAGCAGGAGTTTGGCTGGGCGGCTGGGAGAACAGTCAGCTGCCACCAGGAAGGGCTCGCCAGGGTTTGGGTGACTACGGGGAAAAGGAGTCAGGGCTACAGGGAGTGAGGACGGTGCGTGCTGTGTGTATCTGGCTCGGATGGAGAGGATGCTGGGAAGAGTTCATGTGAGTCTGGCTGAGGGGAGGAGAAGCACCGGGGTCCAGAAGTCAGCGTGGATGATGATGGTGGAGACAGGTGGACGTGGAGGAGGATAACTGGTGGAGTAGAAGAAGCAGAGCCTGTAGGAGAGGACGGTGGGTGAGGACACGGAGAGAGGAGTTCACTCAGCAGGACGTTAACCAGGAAGACATAGAGGTGAGGACACACAGTTGACAGGAGCGCTGATCACTAGGAGCCACGATCCGTTCGCTTAGGAACATACAACAATCTGGCGATGAGAACACGCCAGCTTGTAGTTAGGTGGAGCCAGGTTGTGCTGCGCGTGTCTCGTCGCCTGGACCGGGAGCGGGCACGCGAGGAGCCGGAGGTGATGCCATGAGCTTTAAACTAAGAAATAAGTGGTTCATGAGTCCATGAAAAAGTTCAAAGTAATCAGTTTAAAAAAAATTTACATTTTTTTCAGATGTATGTAAAAGAAAGATTACTCCTCTGTTAATGAATCCCTGAATGCATTTTAATAGGTTTCATGCAAGAAAACCTGTAATAATAATGTTATATAGAGAAAAGCAAACTCATAATTGAGCAAATTGTGAAAAAAAACCTATTCCCGGTTTTAATGGCTTCAAAACGCAATTCAAAAATAATTCTAGAAAAAACACACAATTCATCATAAAATAAGCATAACATTATTCACAATTCTTTAAAGCTGAGGACAGAAGAAAATGGCTTAAGGCACAAAAATCTCAAGAAGTGATAGAAATTTAGGACAATAAATGTATATGAATTATGTAGAAGACATTTTTCAGTCATTTTCTGGGGAGCGAAAATGTTACCTACTGTTTTCCCTCCATCGCTGTCCTGGGGCACAACATGGACTGTCAGACCCAAAGAAGAGGCTTCGCAGGCTGGGCCAAACAGGAACACAGTCAGGCCCAGCAACACGATGCTCGGTTTGAATGTGTTCAGCATCTCAGTTTCTCAATCGAACATTAAGCCTGAACCTCTGAGAAATGTAAAGACAGAAAATTAAAACAGTGACGACTCATAACTGGATGTTAACAGAGATAATGCTGATCCAAACTACAACAAATCGTGATTCCACTACATGTATAATAACTGTTTTTGTGCAATTCACTTATATTGCCGGTCAGTATAATCGCAATGTTAGACCTACTTAGCCTAACAGGTCTGGACACTTTCTGAAACAAGGCTCTTGCTTGACATGTATAAGAGGTTGTGGTAAAGATGGAATCAGTTATTCTCTTGAACAAAATGCGAGAGACCTGTTAAGGTAACTGGAGACAGGAACCAACACCCCTGAAATTCACAGTATGGTGTCTGATGCCTGTGGTATGCGAGTTCAAAAGGCTGAAATATAAGCTGGCACTCAACACAATGGCAAAGTGAGCCAGAAATCAATCAACTACTGTGATACTCCATATATTTCATATTATTATCATTTATTCTTTTTGGTGATACAGGAAGTAACAGAACAAGTGATTAAACAGAAAGAGACAGAACAAAAATACATTAAGATAAGCTTTAAATACAAGTAGCAGGCATGTGCACTGACAACAGTGTAACAACAAAGCCTCCATGTCAAATGAAGATTTTATTTTTTTTTTTTGCTGTTTCTTTAGTATTTAGCTCTATTATTTATCCACAGAGGTGGTTGGGTGGTTTAGACTTATATTTTAAATAAAACCTTAGCCCTCTCCCTCTCTGTATAGACAATATACAGGCTGAAAGAAGAACCCATCATAAAGTTTGTTAGTAAGGTGTTGGGCCACCATGTGCCACCCGAACATCTTCAGTGTACCATGGCATTGATTCTCCAAGTCCATGAACACGTTGGTCTAAAATCTTCAATAGGTGTTCAATTTGATTGAGATCTTTGACTGTGAAGGCCACAGCCTATGATTCGCACCATTTTCACACTCATCAAACCATCATGATAAGGCTCTGTGGTCACCTAGCTTTCTTTTTCAAAGGCATTTTATTAGCATTCCTTACAAAAATTGTTGTACAAGTAAAAACTTTTTTTTCAACCCAGATGTTTGAGTAATTTAAGCCTGATCATTGGTCGCAGCCTTAAAATGTCTGCATTTCAACAGCTTGGTGCCAGTTCTGCTTTCTCAGTAATTGCCTCATCACCTCTTAAATCAAAACTTAGTACAGGGTCAAAGCTCCAGGGCCCTGAGCTACCAAAGCCATCAGTTTCAAGTGAAGATTAATTTAAACATCCTTTAAAAAACAAACAAACAAACAAAAAAACCCCCCCTTGATAGGTAAAGTACCAATTAAAATCAAGCTCTAGGGTGAGACCCCGTTTGTTTACATTAGATAAAGCTGATGACTGGACAACAAAGCCCAATATATATATTTTTAATTCATTAGTTTACTCTTTGGCAGGTTAATCAACACTGATCTTAATAAAATAGGTATGTATATGCAAAAACATCTCAGCAATGTACGACTGCCAGGTAGGACATGCTTTCAACACATTTACTGGAGGACAATTATTTACCGTCACAAGAAATGGGTTGGGCACTGTAAAGCTCGGCAACACCTTGTACTTTTAACTGTAAAATACATTTTGTCTTACAATGTTTTCTTTCAAACTGACAACTGAATTAAATCAATGGCATGTTTCTTACAAAGTTTATTAAAATTCGTCCCCTAAAAACACACACACACACACACACACAAAAGTCAACTTAGCTTTAGTTTGATTCAAGATTCTGTCGTACTTACTGTTCGTGCTTTTATCTTGCATGATGGATTAGAAGAGGAAGCTCATTTTACTTTACATTCTTTGCATAATTAAAAAGTGTAAAAACCGGTTATACAAAATTATAACAAATATTTGCTAGTACGGAAACCTTCACATTCTGTAAACAATTTCAATGCTTTGTTGGTGAAATTACACATTATGGTCAAAAAAACTGAATAAACATCCTGAAATACAGCAAAGAAAAAGCAAATATACAGCACTTGAATCAAGTAGATTAAATTTACCTTCATCCACTTGCCACAATTCCATCGAAGTGTCAATATTCCAGTAAGTGTTTTCTTCCTGCATCAATCTTAAAGAGTAGAGTGCAGCTAAATTTGGGCACACACAGAATGGAGTTAAACTGGCTCAACCAGAGACTGTGCAGAAGTATGACAATAGCTGCACGTCAGGGGAAGGGCTAAGGAAAAGTGGTAAGAATAATCCTAGTTAAGCTCAAATGAAGCAACCTCCATTTAAAATTCTTTGCCAAGCTTTACAGTTTATCTAACACCTGATAACAAAACACAAGACTGGGAAGGCTGAGATGTTTATTTATTCAAAGATCAAAATGTTAAATTCTGAGGAATGATGGTACAACAGTCTTTATTTGCCAAAGTTCTTAGAAAAATTGTGGCACTTTCCTGCCAGATGGTTTATACTCAGCAAGACATTTTTTTTCTGCAAAGTTGTTCCTTTCTGGTCAAGTTTTTAGTAAATGTTAAACTATTTCACAACAACTCCACACCACATTAATGTCAAATGCATTTATATTTGGTCAGAAAACAAAGAGTCGGTCCCAGCCTAAGAGAGGAAAGGTGTCCATTCAGGAAGGAGGTCCCTGGAGTTTTGGTCAAAAGGAAGGCCTTCTTGTTCTTTGGACCTTCTTTCAGGCAGTTGGATACCAAAAAAAAAAAAAAAAAGACGCTTCTTCACTCCTTATACTTCCTGAGACTGAAGCCAAATCTGCCCATTACTGGCCATTTTTTACATTAAGCATTTTCTCCTGTGATGAGAAGAAAAACCATCAACAGTTAAAGAGTCGGGATAATTAGCAAAAACCCCGAAAAGTAATGTGCAAGAACACAGATGCATTTGTAGTAAGTTATATCTCTTACTTTGATCATGGTCTCCAGCTTGATGGCATCAATAGCAAACTTGCGGATGCCGTCAGACAGTTTCTCTACAGCCATTTGGTCTTCATTGTGCTGCCAGCGGAAAGTCTTTTCATCAAGGTGAATCTTCTCCAGATCACTGGCCTTGGCTGCAAAACAAGACCAAAGTCGATGCAGAAATACACTCACAGGCCACTTTATTAGGCACACCTGCATGTACTTCAGTGCAACACCTCCGCCTTAACTCCTGTTTATGAAGCTCAAAATGTTTGTTTTTGATGAAATTGTCATAAATGTATAAATTCAATTATGTTTATTATTGAGATCATAGTTACAGAGGTGTTCCTAGTATTTTGACCCTCTCATGTATGTAGCTGGAGATGACATATAGACGCCTCTAAAACTCCTTCATGGTTGCCATTTGAAATGACTACTTGTAGTTAAAAAATGGTTCTTGTAACCTTCACTAGGTAGGGCTAATTTACAGACAGTTTGACAAAAGAGGTAGAAAAGCTGGACTAACGGCAGAAAGGCTGTAAGTAGGAGACTGTCGTGGCAGGACATAATCTAGCTGAGAGACCCTGCATCCTGTCCTATCTTCATTTGATTTACCAGGCTGTGTGTAAAAACTTTATTAAGACACTTTTATGGTCAGATTGCAGTCATTTGGGGTTTGATCTGTTAATGGATATAGTCAAGCTTCTTCCCGTTTTAGCCACCATTTCTAATTCACTAAATGTCCATGCACAATAAAATTAAAATGGGAAGTTATGCGGGATGGGGAGTATTTTGCAGAAAGGCAACCTTTGGGTTGCAAAACATTACCGTTCTCCTTATTGAGCAGCTCTGTGACAACACTATGGTCCTGGTTGAGCTCTGCTAGCAGCCCGGGGGAAATGGTGAGCAGGTCACAGCCTGCCAGGGCTTTTATTTGCCCTGTGTTTCTGAAGGAAGCACCCATCACCACAGTGCTGTAGTCAAATTTCTTGTAGTAGTTATAAATCTTGGTCACACTCAGCACACCTAAGTGAAGAAGAGGATGAATGAAAAATTAAAAGCCAAGATACATTAAATATCATTATACCAGCATCTCTGGTTTGCATAGTCACCATGATGCAGCTACTTCTCAGGGCATGGCGACATGTATACAAAATAGTCAAACTTATTTTCTCAATGAATGCGGTTTTCCCTGTGCCTATTTGACTGGCATGAAGTGGACGGGGTTCAATTGAAAAAGGTCATGTATTACTGTGCACCAATCAGGATTTAGCTAAACTTTAAAATCTGATCACAAAGAGTTGTTTGATCATTGCCAGTCAAATGTGATCACACCACACGCACACAATCCTGATCAAGTCAGGGACAGTGTGCGAGGACTGGCAGACTGTTGTTGTGGTGGTACCCATTTTTTAAACCTCAGCACCTTTTAAAATGTGGGTGTAAGCTGGCAGTGGCTGAAAGTGAGAACCCCATCCTTCCATTATACTGACAAGGTTCAGTGGTGGTTATTTGACTTTATTCTCTATTTGATATGCAAAACATTTTCCCTCACTGATTTTGGCCAATTATCTACACTGCTGGTCTCAGGACTCCAGTAATTAATGTGTAGGAGAGCATTACAGCAAGATAAATGAGAATACAATGTATTAATCTTAAAATAAGGCAAAGCATAGAAAGTAACCCATTTTCAACAACACCTTGCCGTCTTAGCCAGTCATGAGCTATAACTAACTTCAACTTAAGACTTGTTTTCACATCAATGCAGGTTTCATAATGCTAAGGACAGTCTTTATTACCTGGGTCTTCATGTGGCTCAAAGCTTTTGCGGTCCGTGTTCTCCTTGTACCAGTCGAGAATGCGTCCAACAAAGGGTGATATAAGTGTTACCTTTGCTTCTGCACAGGCCACAGCCTGAGCAAAGGAGAACAGCAGGGTCATGTTGCAGTGAACACCGTGCTGCTCCTCGAGCTCCCTGCACCAAAAGAAAAGCAAGCATTTTATTTAAAAACATCACAAACACTATTATATTCACATACAAACTTATTCTTCTTCTCCTCCAAGTTGTGGCACCAAGCCCCAGAATAAGACATATGGCAGTTTTCTCAAGGTGAGGACTTATGCTGCTTAAATACACTGAACTGGACTGAGACCACCGAGTTAATAGATACAGGTGCCAATTGATGCAGGTTAGTCGGTTTTACGGTGGACAGCTGTGCTCCTTTTGGTTTTTAGTGTTTTTTTTGGACATTTTTGCCTTTATTTATTAGTGGGTAGGGGAAAGGAAGACAGAGAGAACGGGAGACCTGTGACAAATGTCAGTGGCTGAGCCGGTGACATTGTGCATGTGTGCACCGCTGTAACCATTTGGTTACTGGGGAGCCCCCATGGCTGTGTGCTCTTTATAAACATCAGTCATTGACTGAATCTTCACAGATATACTAACAATTAAGACTTCAGTCCAGTGGGTCAATATCCAAGTTAATTTATTATGTAAAACATGAATCTAGCTCTTGATGATCAAATTTCAGCTTGGTGCTCTACCGCTGTGCTGCTTGTTTTTGTTTTTAAGTATTACAGATAATAAATGTGAAATGAGGGAGAAACCGATAACAAAGGCCTCTGATTGTACTGAAACTGGGGATACTGTGGTTCACGGTCATGTTTTTGTTAGTGGAGCCAACTTTATTTCAGACAAAGTGGTTCATCTCCACTGTAAGACACTGAAGAAATGTTGCTCTATGTATCCTCAGTCAAAAAAAAAGAAAGAAAGAAAAAAGAAGAATATCAAAACTATCTAAAACATTATGAATCCCCATCAACATAATAAATTCTAAAAACAAAACTGACCGACATGACTCAGGCATAATAAATGGTAGATAAGCACAGCTGACACATGGCGAGCACTTAATACTCACTTGCCCGCCTGGATTCCCTCCCATGTTGATGACAGTTTGATGAGCACCCGCTCCTTGCTGATGCCAGCCTCTTTGTAGAGAGCGATGAGTTTCAAGGCCTTGGCAACCATTTCATCTTTGTCGAAAGATAGTCTGTTTGGGGAAACACATCCATTAAGCATTTAAGCCTAATTTTAATTATTTACT